TGCCCCGACAGCTTCATAGGGGGCTCGTAGGGCGCGCTTGGCGTCTGCGACCGGAACATCTCCACCAGCTTTTGCGAGCTCACTAGGGTAATATTACTAAGTTCATTTTATCGGTCATAGAAAAAGTTATACATTATTATTGTCGGGAGTCCAAAAAGTCACATTGCTTCCTCCAAATTTCGCGGCGCATTAAATGCACCATATTATGAAGTTATACGGAATGGCTCACCCACTTTGTTGAACGTCGGCGGCGGGCCGGTGTTGACCTCCGGGATAAACTCGTAAGAGGGCTCTGCCGTGGGCCGCTCCCTGTCTAAATCCGGTTTCTGTGGGCCTCGCGATCGGCCAGGAGGATATTCTTCGTCTAGATCATTGAATCCGTTACTCGAAACTCTTTTCCTGTTGAAATTGTCTTTCACGTTTTCCTTGTGAGTCGTCTCGACTACAACTGGGCATTCTGGAACTAAAAAAAAGAGATTTGAATTTGAATATCAACATAGCTAAGTACAGGAGCGGCAGGAGGCGAGCGGCTGCGGTGCATAACCTGGTTGGGGCGGCGGTGGCTGGGCGGGCACCTCCATGGGCAGCACGAGCAAGGGCAGGATGGCGGGCTGCGGCGGCGCGCGCGCTGCTAGCAATGCAACCAGTTCTTCGGTTATTATGAACTTTTTATAAATTTAAAAAAATAAAAACACAATTAGCTAACATCTAAAATAAATAAAATAATTATCTAACTTCTAAGTATACAAATAAAAATCATATTTCACATTTGAATAGATTTTTTTATGTTGAGACGTGGCGTGTGAGTGTGTGTGTGTGTGTGTTTGCGAGGGAGGCGCTACCTCTGAGCGGGCCCCTGGCGCCTGTGACTCCCGGCAGCGACCACTGCGGCCCGTCTGCGCCGAACTCCATGTTGTTGCGAGCGTAGTCTGCACACATGACGTTTGCGTTAGCTTAACACTCGCCGCATCAAGTTTACCAAACTCAGGCGTTGACGGATAATGACGAACGACGAAAATAAAATGTTGTACTGGGTGGCCGCGGTGCGCGCACTCGCGGCACCCGCGCATATGGCGCTCGCGAACAATTCCAACAAATCACGTCACAGCTACCTTTTCTCACCTAGGGGGGCACTTTAAAAGTAATTGACTGTTTTCCTTTTTTTACTTGCTCACAGCCCTCGCGCCTCATTCAGTCATTCGTCAGACACTATTCCAAGTGAGACTTGAAGAGTTTGGTAGTGTGTAAAATTGCTGTGACCTGCGACAAGCTGCAGCCAGCTGTTGGAGGTGGAGCGGGGCAGTCGCAGACGGGGCTGCGCGGTGGGCGCGGTGGGCGCGGTGGGCGCGGGGTGCGCGGGACTCGCCGCCGTCGCAACGACTGCACAGATAAACAAAATTATCATAAAACAGTATTGTATATTTTACGTGTAGATGTGATGTGACCAATGAAAAGTTATTTAAAAATAGCACAGTAAAATTTTCCCATTAGAAACCGCTACCGAAACCTTTAATATTTTTTGGCGTGAATACTCAATTGGGCTACAATTATTTTGCCTGTGAACCGCGATAACCGACGCGTCTCTCATAAATACCAACCGGTGATATACGTTATTGTAATTTAGCCCTAATTTGATACAAGTATTATAGTTTATGGTGTTGTTTATTATTGTCTATATTCAAGGTAGATCCGCGGCGGCCTCGCGGTCAGTCGCCAAGGCAAGAGGCCAGCAATGGACAACGCGCGAGCAGCGAGCGGCGAGCAGAGCGCCCCGCGGCCTGTTGTTGTCCACTGCGTGTTATGTACAACTAATTAACATAAGAGGGACATTACGAACCGGCCGCCGCCGCCGCCGCCGCCTCCTCCTACACTCGCGCTCAAGAAAGTTTTATAACAACTTAACATATTGTAAAACTGTACTTTCGCGGAGAAGAATATATTAATAGATACTTGACTATTTTTTTTCAATTCCTACAAAGAATTAGTTTTTGTTTTAGTGAAAAAAATAATAAGGTGACGCTGCAGTATCTACATTGGAAAAAAAATTATGAAAACCAATATCATCTTGCTTTCAAAGCGAATCAACTAACCGTTGGTTTCAGAGACCAAAATCTTTGTATAAAAAAAATTATATACTAATTTATCTATTACCTCTTTATCTTTGACAAAATAGAGATAACAATATGTATTTAACGCGGATTTGGTCTCAGAAACCCACGGTAAGTCATATAAAAACGTTTGAACGACATTCAGAAGTCAATATATAACCGACAGGTTACTGGCCGGTAAAATAAAATCAAAACGAAACGTCCAATATCAAACAAAATTACTTATCCACATGACGCGTTTTCTGGACCCTGATAGTGTTTCACTCATTGTTATTTGGCTACGTCGATAGAAATTTACGTTTATAAATAGCGAAGAGTTCGGCGATGTTAGCAAAGATACCGAGAAGCAGACGATGTAACTGCTATTTGTGGTGTAACGCAGAAGGTGGGTCTGGAAGCAACCGCAATAAACAGTATTTATTCACGCTGTAGGAAGATACCTATCTGCACTGCATATTATAAACGTCAGAAGATTAAATAAAGCTGCCATTTTTGTGATTATTGAACTTAAATATGATCAATGTAGCCGATTTCAAAAATTCTTCACAACAAGAATGCTACATCATCCCTGAGCATCATTATATTAGTATTTGCCCAATTATTTGATATTATTATAAAATGTTTAAAAATAAATGTCCGTCTCCGAGAATCATTCCGCTGACGTCTAGTATAGGAAGTATTTATAGAGAAAAAGTGTGAATTAATATGAATTGAATGGAAATTAACCGACTTATAAAGATAAATATATATTATACAAAAAAAATGCAAGAAAATGTGAATTGCTCACGAGTGTTGTGGAGTCTAAGATATTTTGAAGTTGCTGCCGTCCAAGGCAGATTTGTAAATATTATAAACGAGTAAATATTTCATAATGTTATTTAGCCTTGAACATTTCTATCCGAATGTGGCTGTAGTCATATCTACAGTGGCGACATCTCTTATATATGTAAATTGTTTCAAAAAAAACAAAAACAACGGTCGAGCTACCGGTGGCCGTGATCTAGTAAAAGTAACTTTATAACACTACACATGGTATATTTCCTGAACAAGTTGTAAAGGCGACAATGATCGATGCGATTTTAAATTTGAAAGGACAGTTCGGGGAAGCGAAACTGGCACAGGCGCAAGCGAAGGCTCGCGCGCCCCAAGGCCGTACTCGCGCTCGCGGTCGCGGTCGTGGACGAAGGAATTTTGATTTTGAAATTAATTATGTAAACGTCTATAAACAAGATATCCCAAGATAGCATTTACAAGGTATTAAGACAAAGGTGGGCATTAACTCGTTAATCGTTAATCAATGAAGTTAACATTTTTGTTAATGGATTAACTTTTAAGTTATCTTCAAAAAGTGCTAACGTTTTTGTTAACTTAAGTTAAATTCAACTACCGTTCATTTAGTCCGTTACCCGTTAGTTAACATTAGACACTTGGTGATGTAATGTCATTTTGTTTAAAATTACGCGCCACGCCAAGCTCGTAAGTTCGGCTATGGTCGGCGACTGTAGGCTAGTGTAATGGTGAATGAACGAGTTGATAATTCATGTTTGGGAAGTGCGGGGGCATATTATATACATAGATCGTAGGGGAAAGACGTGAACAAAAGGAAATGAACAGGAGGTTGGAAAACATTTGACCGCATTTATACTTTTACACTATGACTACACTTTACACTACACGGCCACACTCCGGTTTCGATTGCACTAGACACTATCACGTGGTATCTAAAATACAATTAAACTTGTGCCTGTTGCCGACGAAAATATTTATGGTTCATTTGAAAGAGCGGTCGAAAAGGATTTTTTTTGATATTGCGTAAATAAAAACATGGAAAAATAAATTTAAAAATGCGGAAGACGAAACATGTGCTTTCAATGAACAACCCTTAACAATAGGGAATTTATCTGTTTATTTCTAACGATAGAATGTTGATTTCACATACATTAGTTTACGACAAATAATTATACATTTATTTTGAATAGAACAAGCGACGTTCGCAAAAACCATTCGATAGATTTATGGCCAACCCTCATAATGGTGAGGGATGCGCGCGCGCGTAAACACATTGTTGATTTGTTTACTAACGTATTAACTTACTAATTGTATAAGATGGAACGAGACAGAATGAGGCAATTAAATAAATGTGTGTTTAATTCGACCTTCTAATTGTTTTATCTATGTATTTCTCTTAACCAAAAAATCATGTGAATTTCATAACTGTTAACTGTTACTGATTATCTTTAACTTGTGTTAAAATTTCGAATTTTGAACGCATTTACGATTAATGAAGTAAATTTTTTAATTGACGAATTAACGTTAACTGTGTCCACCTGTGGAGACAAATAACTTTTATTTAACAAAAGGTAAGTATATGTATAATTTAGTACATATCCCGACTCACAAAACCCAGACGATTTTCAACATCTACTGATGTAGATCAGTATTTTTTGATCAGTAATTTGTATTATTAAGAGTTACATATTTATAACAAAATGTTGTTCTCATATCACATCAAAAGAATATGTCGAGGCGTAAAATATCTTCAATAGATTGTTATTTGTATCTACTAGTCGTCTGCGGAAATAATTATTTTGTATATAAACCCTTTTGTTGCATTACGAACAAAATCATACGACCTGACCTATTCAGTTGTGAGCATAACACCTCACCTATCTTTAACTTTGTTTGTCCTGCAAGGCAAAGTTTATCGACAAGCCCAGTAGGCAGTAGCCTCGCGACGTCGGTTACATTTCACTTTAAATCTCTTATCATGAAATGTGAACTTCATCACCGAACTCCCGTCGGGAATAGATTGCGGTAAAATTATAAAGGTATCATAAGAAATAGAGATTCACCGAAAACAGTTTACATATAATAGTTATAGAGATTAATTAAAAGCAATTTTAAATTAAGATTTACGTTTGATGATAATTCACATAACAAAAACGAAATCCATAGAATAGAGGGCCCGAGAGGCGAGAAATGGTGTCGGTGGCGAGTGACGACTCACCGGCGCCGGCCAGGCAGAGCACCAGCCAGCAGGGCGCGGGTGGGGCGCGGCGCGGCATCTCGAGCAGGGGCAAGCACGAGGACTGCCGCCGCGAGCGCCCCGCTCGGCATATACCAGCCGTTTGCTCGCCCCGCCTCCCGCCGCCACTCGCCGCCACCCCCGCCGGCACCTCTTACAGCACAGCGCTGGGCAACACATCTTGACAAATTGATACAAGTGCTATCTACTGCTCGCCCTTGCTACTCTTACTCAGAATCAGTGCGGGCAGCGCTGTGGCAGCGAACAAAATACATAACGTCTTTTTTTAATTTCAACCTCTCATAAGTTTTGTCACCTCATGTTCAAGATCGTCATTTTCACCCACGTTTATAACGAAATCGGTGTTTTGATATATAAAATAATATCGTCATATTAATTTGAGAACAGTTTCATTCATATCGGTGCGGCGATATCCATAGACGCTGCTTTACTCCTTCCTCTCGCTCTCGACTTCTCGCTACAATACGGCATCTATTTGCTCTTCGAGTTGTGGCACAATTCATCTTATCTACCTTCCTCTTGTGAATTCCTCCTTTATCTTCCTATCCCTACTGTGAGAACAACTTTTAATCATTGCGTTACTTTACATAAAGTTATCTACCTAAACGAGACAAGTAGTGTCTATTTGCATGCATGTACGTAACTTTCGCAACTCGCTTGATGTGTCAAGTTAAACTAGAACAAATGAGACAAGTCAGTCGCCTGCAGCTGATTGTTGCTCGGCGACAGCGGCTTAATAATAGATTAATAATAGATAATAACATTACTAAAAGATCTTAATTAAAATATGTTAATGAGAAAACTGTCAAGTCATGTATACCTAACGCCGGGGGACATGGCCATTGCCAGTTGCACGGAAGCTATTTAGGGTTCCCTATGAGTATGACGTAAGAGTAGCGTGTGTTTTAAGATACATGTTCATGTGCCAGTGCCAGACGCACCGCACGCATCGCCCGCAATGGATTTTGGATTGCTTTGTATGTTGTATTATATAGCGCTGGGTTCATCATCCGCGCCGCCCGCGGAATCCAAACTTGGGCGATTTTAAAAGAAGAATGTTGGGCATAAAGTTAAAAGACCGAACCGGACCGCCAACATCCACTCTCCCTTATGGCGTCTATAGATATAATAAAATATGTATGAAGCTGTCATAAAATTTTAAAATGTAACATTTTCTAATAAAACCAGATTAGAAGACGAGTCCTTGACATTAGGATTTTGCGCGCGAGATGTCAACGCGCGACCGTGACCATGAAGTGTTTGTTCACGTTGCAAGCGCGGGCGGGGGCGCGGGCAGGGGCGCGGGCAGGGGCTCGGGCACGGTAGATGTGGCGAGCTTGTATTCGCAGTGACCCCTAGACGTTAGCGCCATCGACCAATTCAATGTGATTAGTGCTTATTCACGTTGAATAAGTGGGCGCGGGCGCAGGGAAATATGTCAAACTTACATGGCCAGGGTGAGCTGACAATAAAAAAACCCCCGTTGCCTAGCAGCGACTCTCAGACGTTCCGAGTTTGACTTAAGTCCACCAGGTCAGATAACTTTGCCGGTCTGTATTTTAGAAAGAAATAGTCATGTACATTGTCATATATAATGTTACGCGTTAGAAAAGAGAAGTTTTTGCAGATAACTTATTAATAACAATAATTATTTATTGATCAAATGTCAAGGTGCGGTGCGATGTGGGCGAAGTGGACTCTGAATATGAACAAAAACTGAATCATCAGTCAACAAGCGAGCTGATGTAATTTATACTCTTCCTATTTTACGTGTGATACAAAGGACCTAGACTTTAATAACGTTGTAATAGGATAACCACAAATCAACAAAATTCTCAAATTATAAATATAAAATCACATGAAAATACCATCACGCAAAGCAGCCTTACTCTCTGCACTATATCACATCCCGTTAGCGCAGCTGCAGCGATTGCCCTTCGCCCTCTGCCCTCTGTCCTCCGCACTATCCCGGAGGCTGCCAACGACATCGACCTTGACATTAGAAAGAGCGCATCACAACTTTATTTTTTGTTTGTCCCGACTTTGCAGGTCGCAAAACTGACGCGTCTGCTTAAAGTCCGGCTTTTCTAAAGGTCATCAAGTTTTATAATAATTTTAGTAAAATAACTTCAATCTAAAAGAACAACAAGGTCACGACAATAAAAATAAAGTTCGATTTAGCTATCAATTAATTAATTTGATATTACTCATTATTACAATGCAATTAACACCGACAACTCTGCGAGAATAATTTATTTATTTATTTATCTATTTATTTATTTATCTATTTATTTATTTATTTATTTATTTATCTATTTATTTATTTATTTATTTATTTATGATACACCAACGGTTAAGTTATAAGACATGCGAAAAAACAACCCTTATTACAGAAACAGAAAACACATAATAACTTATCACAATTAAATGTGTACACATCAAGTCATGCGAGATTAATGATGAAACAAACAAACAACACAAAAACCTTATACATAAACAAAAAATACTGAAATTTTTTAGAGTGAAACCAATTGTGAAAACAACAAAAAATAAAAAAGATAACAAAGGAAAGAAAAAAAGAGGACATGAATTAAATTAATTAGCAACATTACGGATATATTTTACAAAAGAAGATATTTTATTGGAGAAAATGTCGATTAGGGGCGCATTATTTCTCGCTCTATGCTTAGGATTTTCTACATCATAAGAGTTATGCATAGCATTATATGTATTCATCAATCTGTTAATCGGTGAATGAAGGCGTAAGTTCGTACGAGCTGCCTTAGTAACAAACGGGTTATATTTTTTATATCTGGGTAGTCTGGAAGGTACAGAGATGGATAATTTTGATATTAAGTAAGAATCGTCAGTGTAGCCATTGATGAATTTCTACAGAAACATGGCATCGAGCTGTTTTCTTCGGTGGCAAAGCGACTCCATACGAAAATGTTTTAAGCGGTCTTCATAAGTTGAAAGTTTTTTCCCTAAGTTGTAGCTAAATGATAAATGCAATAGAAATCTTTTTTGGACACTCTCTAAACGCTTAATATATATATATCGTAGTGCGGGTTCCATACAACGCTGCAATACTCCAGGCGGCTGCGAACTAATGATGAGTAAAGGCATATTTTTGTACGAGCATTTTTAAATTCTTTACAGTTTCTTAATACAAAGCCTAAGGTTTTAAAGCATTTTTTAGTTATGTTATCGATGTGAACATTAAACTGCAACTTACTATCAAGTGTTACACCTAAGTCATTAATATGGTTAACAACGTTAATAGACGCGCCGTTAATATTATAAGTGTGGGGATTAGATATTTTTGTTCTAGAAAAATGGACCGAGGAACATTTACTTATATTTATCGACATAGCATTAATTCTGCACCACTCAGATGGTTGATCCAGATCAGTCTGCAGTAGAGAACTATCTGCAGTTGAGTTTATCTGCCTATAAAACTTTAGATCGTCAGCGTACATAAGGACTCTGGAGTTGCTAAAGCACTGGGTAACGTCGTTAAAAAACACGTTAAATAATAAAGGACCTAAGTGGGAGCCTTGCGGAACGCCCGAAGATGCGGTAAACGACTTAGATTTGTATCCCCCAATTACGACTACCGAGGTTCTGTTTTGAAGATAAGATTTGAACCAATGCAACAGAATTCCAGATACGCCAAATGACTCGAGCTTGTTCAGGAGAATGTCGTGATTTACTTTGTCGAAGGCCTTGCTGAGATCTGTATATGATATACCACCATCAACACCCTCGACAAGGTCCCCAACAAAAGATAACAGGTTTGTCGAAGTGGATCTTTCTTTAACGAAGCCATGTTGTTCTGGAGCAATTAACTGTTTTAAATGCCACGATAGAGGTGGATAAATGATCTGTTCAAACACTTTCGCAAATATAGTGAGTGACGATATAGGTCTGTCATTTCCAACACAGCTAGCATCGCCACTTTTTAACAGCGGAATAACTAAAGTGTCTTTCCAAGCTGTCGGAAATATTCCAGAGGTAAGGGACTTATTAAAAATTAAACAGAGAGGAAAAGCTAACGCACTAGCACACTTAACGATAAAGACAGCAGGTATCCCATCGGAGCCCGCTCCTTTCTTAAAATCAAGTCTTTTTAACACTCTGTACACATGATCTCTAGTTACGGATAGGGACGTTAAAAAGTTTGAGACAGTAGGCGCACAGAGTTCGTCTTGACTTGGAACAATCGTGGGAGTAGTGGAGGCATAAACTGACGAGAATTGCGTCGCAAAAAGGTCGCAAATATCGGGTCCACTGGTAACAATTTTATCCCCTGCAGTCATTAGGGAAGGAAAAGTGCAACTGCCTTTCCTTTTATGTTTAAGAAATGTCCATATGTATTTTGGGTTCGATGTCAACGAGGATTCCAGCTGATGCAAATATCTGTTGTAATTTAGTTTGTAAATTTTGTTACATCTCTCTCTCTCTCTCTTAGTAATTGAAATGTCAGCAAGTCACGAAGGTTAATAATAATAAAAAAAAGAAAATGACAAAATTGATAGGTACACCCACCACAAGCTTAGTGCTAGGCCAGGCACAAGCCACCACCCTACCGGGAAGCTGGAGTGAAATCGGTTGCTCAATCGCCTATATGTTATTAAAGATAATAGTAACAAGCTGCGACTAATTGGTTTGAAACAAACTATAATAATACTACAAATATGTATAGCTGACGAGAGCCGTTTCTTTCTTTGTTGCCATGTCTTTGTACATTTGTTTCTTATTGTGACGGAAGACGAGCTCGTGAAGTAACTGTGAAGCAGAAAGCGACCATTAGAGGTATGTAAGTAACGGGAGCTGCGGTCGCTCGCGGTGCGGCGACGAGCCGTGTCGTGCCGTGTCGTGCTGGGGCAGATGGCGACGCCCAACCAGACCGCTAAGCGATATTTAATGTTCTGTACATGGACATAACATTTTATTTCGACACAATTCCATGAATGCCTAAAACTAACAACAGGCAATCGCCTGCGGCTACGCACGCATTCATTTCTTATTTTTCCCAAGTGCCATGAGGTTCGAGTGTGCGCCGCGCCCTCAGATTAAATACCGGATGAGTGGTGAGTCAGAGTTGTCCGCCAAGCCTACCAGCTCGGCAAGGGGACACACGTGGCCGATACTCACGTTTGTAACCTTTCTTCTTATTAGAAAACTCGTCACTTACATAACTTTATGTTTACGGCAGAAAGTTTTATGCGACCTTTGAGTATCAAGTTACGTTGTACGAATAAACATAACTTCCTTACAACAAATGTATGTATGTATGTATGTAATTAGCCCAGTTATTCCTTTCATAACTTAAACGAAGTGTCGTTGACACATTCCTTTTAACAAAATCAATTTACAAAATGTTAAGTATCTAACTATAAGACAGAAGAATCAGAAACAAAAAAATGTTTATTTTTTTGCAATTTTTATTGATTACTAGCTGTCGCCCGCGACTCTGTCCGCGCGGCATAAAACACAAACGTAATACGTATCCTATGTGTTTTCTAGACTATGTTCTACAGTTATGCCTATTTTCAGCGTGATCCATGCACCCGTCCATCTAAACATTCGCATTTATAATATTAGTAAGATAAGATAATATTTGCTAAGCAATAGTTGACAATGTGTTCATAGCATTTAGTTACATGGAATGCTATCACACTATTAAGCCTGATTATATTTATTAATTAATAATAATTTATATAAAATATTGTAGTTAGATAAACATAAATTTCGCAAGCATTGATCGCTGTTGTTTGACGCAATTCACATAACTTTTTACGACTTCGTTTGGTTTTAGAAATAACTAATACTGAAGCAAAGGGTAATCTATTGAAATATTCGGTGACGAGGCCACCCAGCCATTTTGTCTGCAGATTAACTAAGCTGCAAAACTACTGAGAATTGTTAACACATTTTGCCCATTTTATTAATTCAATCGTTTCATCATAAAATGCACAATTTACGTTACATACATGACACGACTGCGCCGAAGAGGTAATGACATCGCGCGATCGATCCATCTCGTCACAATATATTTCGTAGCTTAAGGCTTAAAGTTTTATTTTTTATGTGATCGATGTCACACTGACTTGGTTCAACGCTTAAGAAAATGTCATATTTTTTACACGGTAGAAAAGGGTGGAAAGGGAAAAATAAGAGCAGAATAGGGACAGATAAAAAGAGACCGAATCTCTGCCCTACCTGTCTATCACAATGTTATTTATTTGTTAAAGTTAGAGCTCGCAGTAATATATGTAAACCTGTCGACATTAAATGAATGTGGTGTTTATGCATCGCTTAGAAAAGTGGTCGTTTATATAATAAACAACTTTTTCCATTAACTATTTTAAACGAAGTACATTCTATTAACGGCCTTTAAATCTGTCGGTTAATTAAACTTGCTATAATAACTTGAAGAAACGTATAGCTTCAACATAAAATAAAGGTATTCTTAAAGTAAATATCCCAGGTACCGCTGGCGAGACGCCGTAGAGCTGGATCTGCGGGAGCTACAAGCGATGGACTGGCAGGAGAAGGCGCAAGACAAGCGACTTTGGCGATCTCTTGTGTCGGAGGCCAAGACCCAGTTTGGGTCGATGCGCCAGCGGCGTAAGTAAGTAAAGTATCTATGTTAATCGTTGATACAGAACAGAATGAAATAATTATCATGGGCATTTTTCAACTTGGCGAGATGTTTAAAGCAGAGTGATGTACATTTGTGCTTGTGGGTAAGCAAAGTCGATAACGAAAAATACAACGAAGACCGCAGGGCCGCGCTGTGGCAAATACACCTAATTACGCTTAGTATTTTAAGAGGTGTTGCGTTCTCCTCTGCGTTAAGCCACCGCAAGCGTGTTTGGGCCAGCTCCTCTCGCCAAGCTATATTATAATATGTTTTGTGTTATTATTATTTGCGAATTGCATTAATTTCCCACCACTAGAGGCGGTCTTCAGCTAATAACAGAACAGCGGACGAGTACAAGGCAGTTAGTAGACAATTTGTCTACTAACCGCCTTATGGTCGACCAATCCGTATTATTATTTAATTATGCCTGTCCGCGCGTTCACTACAAGGCTTATGATATCTATTTCTATACAATATAGACATGGTCAAGTGTTTCAACTCGAGCGCAAAACACTTGTCGTTCACGCGCGAGGTCAACAGTTACACAAAGAGTCAAATAAAATTATTGGAACTGTAACTTCTGCTATTTTAAAAGGAAGTACTTGATTACCAACATGTATTACAAAAATACTTGGCTGGTGGTACTAGTTTTCCTCTAACTTGAAATTCGCTCTTATAAATAAAAAAAAGGATAAAAGTCGTCATCATAAGCTTCCGTCATACTACACAGCTTTGTTATGCAAATGTCTCGCGCATGACATTTCAATTGTGTTTTTTTTTATTGTTTTTAATTACTTTATTTATATACTTGAAAGAGATAAATTACGTCAAGCTTGTGTTTTTTACTATTTACTTATAAGGAAAACGAAATTTGTTTAATAGCACTATGACAAGAAACATAGCTTTTTAACAGAAACATTGGTATGCAAAAGAAAATTATCTGACAGGTACTAAAGCTTGTAATGGGGAGAGCTTAGATTTGCGTCTCAGCTTTTCTAAATAAAAAGTAGCAAGCCCTGCGATCATGTGTCCGGCATGCAGCGCGCGCCAGATAACGTACATGTGCTACAACCTTTCAAAATTTAAAAAACAATATAAATGACAACAGTATCTCATTTGACGGAGATTGGCGCCCAAATAGTTTTGATTAAGGTCTTGGACCCAAATGAAAAGTTGTAAGGGCGAAGGACGCCCAATACTATCCTACAATGTTGTGTTACTCTTTACAAAGAAACTTTTTCAGATTTAGGTTTTGGCACAGTATTTATTTCTAGTTGTATTTACTATTTAAAAACTCTCTACTAAAAAAAAACAAGGTTCTATTTAATGACAATTTTATAGCATACTGTATTTCTAACACCATCTGCTAGAAGATTATAAAACCAATAAGATATGTTCATGTACATAATATGCCATTAATTTTTGTATCTATGTTGAGTTTTCCATTTTATTCCATTTATTTTAGAGTAAAAGCATTGCCTATATAGTTGGAGTGCTGCATACATCTTAAATTATTTTAACAAAAATCATTTAAATGGTTAATGTCACAGCACAGTGGCGGCAGCCAAGTGCTCCAAAATTCACTAAACATGGTGTTATTCTCTGGCAAAACATATTACATGAATGCTTGTCTTCGGACAGTTCAAAGTTAAAAAACAGTAATGTATTGCATGGATTGAGGAAGCAATGACTGACTGAAACCATTACAATGCAGATAGTAATACATTTTAATAGAATAAAATGTTAATTAATTCAAAATTAAGCAAAACTTAGAGAGGGATATATTGATGACAACACTGTTCAATTTAATTGCTATCTCCGACTGTTGCCCCGCTGATGCCCTCTACCCCTCACATATGTCTTGTGCGTGTGTTTACCAGGATGTTCTTGTGATGCTCCCGAATATCTTTCTTGCTTCTGGTTGCTGTGCTGAGCGCCCTGACCACATGCCGCTGCGTTTGGCATAAGTGAGCGAGGTCCCGAGTGTGTTCCTGTCCCGTTGCCGTTACGCTCGTTAGCAGGCTGTGCGGTAGAGGCGGCCACAGGCGCAGCCGGCTGAGGTTCGCTCATGTTCACTTGTTCGTTGAATATCATGCAGAACTCGCCTACTTTTTGTATGTCGCCAGATTTTCCCGAATAGAGAGTAAGAGCAGACCGCCACAGTGACGCATAGCCACGAGTGAGGCGAACGATATCTCCAGGCTGCAACAGTGCTCCGGGTTCGTCCCATACTGAAAAGTTGACCATAGCAGAAGCATCCGCAACTCGCAAAGTGCGCACTTCACGCGCTTCCTTTGTTAAAGTAGGAGGACCCACTTCCAATACAATAAATACAGCGTTTATGTTCTTCATGCCAGGTTTTAAATCTTTTATTTGAACGAATTCCGTAGTACTCATTATTTTTTTTAGATTTTAAGTACGGTACTCAAAAGATGTAGAGGACTTTTTCTTGCTAAAATATTTACGCCGAATAACTTGACAAACTGATGACTGGCAAATAGGCAATCAAAGAGTAAAATGCAGGCAATGAAAAAAATAAAGTTAAACTAAATTATATTAGCTAACATGAAAACTGCCATTAGATCATTTTCATCCTGAGGCTATCTTGTTCTTCTTTTATTTCGTTTTCCTAATATTTGGTTTTAAATTTTTTCCGATTTACAAAATTACTAACCGCGATAGTTGCGCCTTTCTCAAATAATTTGTTACCCTTTACTCTTTGAATTTGGTTTTCTTGTCAATTGTGTAAATAAGATATGACCTAAAGGTCTATGTTACCAGGTCATAAAATAAAAAAAAAATGTCAACTGTGAATTGTCAACCAATATCTCTTTTTAACGTCAATTGTCATTTGAATTTAACCTGTTTACAATTGATGTTTACCGTTTATACATTTAAAATTAACTAGTAATATATTGATAATAGTTATATCTGAGCTATCAAGCGTAAGGGTACAGTTAATTGCAAAAATCTGGCACTAGCATTGTGTAAAGTGGTTTGTTTGATTATAGTTAAAGTGTGCTAAAATGTTTAATCAACTCGGCGGCGGCACAAGCAATCCCAACAAGGATTTGGAAGTGACTTCCCCGCCTGATGATACCGTGTCTTCGCTAGAATTCTCACCACCATCCGTACAACAAACATTTCTCGTTGCCGGCAGCTGGGATTGCCGAGTAAGTCGTGGTAAACGAGCGACCACGTTGTACCGCTAAAATTATAGAAAATTACCGTGGGTTTCTGAGATTAAAATCACTGTTAAAAAACATATTGTTATCTCTGTTGTCAAAGATCTCTCTCAAAGGTCTCGGAAACTAATGGCCACTGTTAGGTATTTATAATCAGTATCATTTGTTTTCAGGTAAGATGCTGGGAAGTAGAAATTTCTGGCAAAACTGTACCAAAGGCAGCACAATCTATGGATGGGCCCATTTTAGATGTGGCATGGCATGATGTTGGTATAATTTCTGAAATATGATGAAATACAATACAAGAATATTGTTACCTATTTTTTTTTTGCAATTCTGTTTTAGGATGGAAGCAAGGTGTTCATGGCCTCGACAGACAAAAGTGTGAAGTGCTGGGACCTAGCAGCCAATCAATGTGTACAGGTATATTAATTTTTTTATAACTCCAATGAATGTAAATAGTCAGTACAATCATTACATTAACATTTGTAGGTGGCAGCACATGATGCCCCCGTGAAGACATGCCACTGGATCAAAGCTCCCAACTACAACTGTCTGATGACCACATCTTGGGACAAGACAATTAAAGTAAGTGTACCTGCATTAACAATCTTAACTGAAAATAGAGTAAGCAGTTTTCTGTTTTACTAGATCCAACATTACTAATAAGTGTTGATAAAATATTTTGCATGCTGACATTGAGCTGCAAGGCTTTGTAGTACTGTCCCCCTCCATATGTTCCATGTGCCGAAAATTGCATTTTGCAAACTGACTTGTTTAATGTTCCAAGCTGTTTGAAAAATACAATACATGATGTGCGTATTTAAGTGAACTTGTAATGTTGTAGTTCTGGGACACTCGCAGCGCAGTGCCCATCATGACAATGAATCTCTCGGAGCGCTGCTACTGTGCTGATGTGGTAAGTCATTCAACTAAAATGATTTTGCATGATTTCTAATGTTGGCAAGAAGAATCAGATAGTGAGTTAGAATATGTGTGGCAGGAGTATCCCATGGCAGTGGTGGGCACGGCCGACCGCGGTATCTGCTTGTACACACTGGAGGGCAAGCCGGCCGAGTACAAGCGCGTCGAGTCGCCGCTCAAGTACCAACACCGTTGCATCGCTATCTTCCGGGACAAAAAGACCAAGCAGCCAACAGGCTTTGCGCTGGGCAGCGTGGAAGGTCGTGTCGCCATCCAATATGTGAACCCTGTCAATCCTAAAGACAACTTCACCTTCAAATGCCACCGCGCCGGCGGGGGGACCACCGGCAGCTTCCAGGTACATCACAATCTGTTAAATTTATATTTTTCTGATAACATAATAATTTTATTAAACACAACAATATTTTATGTGATATATCTGTTTTATATTCAGATGAAGTAAGGAAAGATATATGTACGTATATCTCTGTATACATGATTCTTATGTCTTCCAAAGAACAAGTAATGTAACAGGAACTATTGCATGAATGAAACAGACTATTCAAACAGCAAAATAAAATTAAAAAAATAGAGAATACTCTTCATGTTACAATACAATAACAACAAATTAAATCATTAGGACATTTACGCGGTGAACGACATCGCATTCCACCCGGCGCACGGCACACTGGCCACGGTGGGATCGGATGGTTCCTACTCCTTCTGGGACAAGGACGCGCGTACCAAGCTAAAGTCCTCGGAGACCCTCGACCAGCCACTCACCAAGTGCGCCTTTAACCACAGCGGCCAGGTGTTCGCCTACGCCGTCGGTTACGACTGGTCCAAGGTACCTCACGCACTCATACGCCACCAACTCTGCACTGCCATTAATTTATTTTCTGTATCAAATAAAAAAGAATATTGGTATGTTACATGTCTCCTTTTAGTAGGGTATTCTTTGGATGCCAGAGTAGATTCACATCGTAAAAAAACTTAATATAACAATGTTATCAAGTTTAATAAAACTTTTTGTCATGTAAAATTGCAGGGGCATGAGCACTACAACCCTGCCAAAAAGAACTTTATCTTCCTGCGGCCGTGCTTCGACGACCTCAAGCCGCGCACCACGTGAACGCCGCGTCTTTGTCAATAAAACTCAACTATCCCTGTTGTTATTTCAACTACAGTCGGGACTATATGTACAAGTTCTGGAATTGAAACATATTTTAATATGCACAAGTCCTTGTATGTAAAGTGTTACATAAAATATTGTAATTACTTACTTTACTTCTTATTAAATAGAGCATAAGATTCCAAATATGTTTTACTGTATATATGTGCTGCCTGGTTAAATACACAAGTAAATGTTGCTTAGCTTTATGTTTGTATGGTTAATGCCAGTAACACTGGTATGCCAGTTGTCTGTCAGTGCTGGTTTTAAATGATTTTTTTTTATATCACAAGGTGGCAAACAAGCGAGCGGCCATTTCATATCGCTGAAATAGCGAAGTGTCCGTTGCCCATAGACATACGCAATTACATATGCATTGCCTACCTTTAATCGACGGAGGAGAGGATGCACAGAAAGAAAATATTTTCCCTTCCCATGCATCCTCTCATCCAGAAAGTCCATTTCCACTTCAAATCCTTTCCTTAAAAGAAAAAAGATGGGAAGGGAAAAGAGGACTAAATTAGACCTCCGGACGCACACTCATCAGACAAAACGCGGAAGTTCTTCCACTTGACGGCTGTCTTCTGTGTGGTCTTGGTATTTCACCGGGTGAGCCGGGCCAATTCGTGCGAAGATGTTAAAGCGGGCTCTACCACTGTTGGAAACCTTGCTACTGTACTTGCATAACATAGACTAGGCATTTATGGGAAAGCCTTGAGCAAGTTTGGTGCAAAATGGTCTTGCTTACTATTGAGGAGCTTAGAAAGGAAGAGTCAACTGCCAAAAGTGATAGATTACAGGATCATTTGCTCACCAAGTATTTACAACATTACACAGTTTGAGGTTAATGTTAAAAAATGTTGAAAAAAAAAACAATTTAATTTCAATCTATATCACATCTAAGAAATAACTGCAAGTTCTTTAAATAATCTATATTAGACATTGTAGGTGTTCACAATGCACATACAAAGCTTCTTGACAAATTAGTGAATTGGACAAGTAAATAGCTAGAGGTGAGCATCAATGGTGGCCGTCACCATGGCCATCATCACCGCCCGCTAGCTTGGTGATAGCCACCGTCACCACAGTGAGGGCCAGGCCCAGTGGGAAACCACGGAAAAATAACTTCCTCGCCCTGAGCAAAGGTGTTCCGAAACCTGGATGATACCTCCAAGCTTCATTCCTGTGATAGAAAAGGGAAGAAGAATTAATTTTGGAAACAAACACAATTACACCAAGTAACAACAGCTACAATGTATATAACTAATCCATTACCAAGCCATTTTCAATTAATTTATTCTGCAAGTTTAAACAATTTGATAACTTTTTTCTTTGTAATATCTTGTGTTACTATTATATTACTATATATATTAGTTTTCATCTATAGTATTATTGATTCCGTGTAAAATTTTCAACCCCAAAAATAAACCACGAATGTTTTGGATAACATTTGCAAAACAAAACCACGAATATCACAGGACTGTGCTCTCTTTTTTGCACTTTTAACAAATACTCATACTTCATGTTGGTATTCTATTGACACCAATACCTGATCCACGGGTCTTTGAGTCCCTTCTTTGCCAGCGCCTTCTCAAGCTCCTCTAGCTGCGGAATTCCTTGTATTGTAAACTGCTTGTAGTCTGGTATTTTATATGGATCGCATTCGTGACCTCCCATGTCTACAATTAAATTTTTTTCTAAATAACCTTAATGATTACGTAACTTAAAAGTACGTGATATAATAGTTTACTATTGTTTTACTACGAATTTGCTAGAAGTTGCTATAATAATACCTGCGTTGTATAATATTTTCTAATCAAAAGCACCCAAGACAAGATATTCACGGGAAGGAATTATATTTTGACAGATGTCAGGACGGATGTTGCGATCAGATCACATAGGTTATATCATTTTATAGTCTTTGACATCTATATATGGATCGGCTACAAGCCGTAGTGTTTTGTGTCGATTTGGATTTCGCTATTTTGGCGCTGATGATAAAGGCGATGAGTTAAGTCTCTCTTTTTCCCTGAACTATAACAACTAGTTAAAGATGTACTCGAGAAAAATAAAACATCTGTATAATATCAAGTCATTGTCACCGTGTTATTATTTTAATAAAAGTTAAGTAAAAGTGATTTTATTTAAATTTTTAATAATGTAAAGGGACACTTACTTGATAGAGGGTTGAATTTAGAGATAAAGATTGTTTTGTCGTGGATATATACAACATTGGTGTATACAATAACTATCACGGCAGGTCAAAACGCTTGCAAACTGGCCAATTTTTAATTTTTAATTCCGTGACACGGGATGCACGGCATCGGCCCACTGACCTTTGTTATGGCTAGGTCACTGCTTAAAAATGACAGCTTTTACTTCGTTCCGCCCTAAAAGCTTCAACTAATATTTCTGACTGTTAATTTCTTCACTATTATTGGTTCGAATCCTCTCCACCGCCACCAACCTCTACCATCAGCGCAATAATGGCGTAAATCAAATGGGCACAGAGTATTAGGGATTATAGCTTGTCTATGCATAGAGGTCAATGATCGGCACGCATAGTTTTTTTTGTTAATAAAATACTGCTTTGTCTGTAGCCTGTAGCTTTGTACCATTGTACTGCACTGCACAGTACTCTTTGCAGTTCAGTTACAGTACCGGTGCGGAACGCGGCTCCGGTCCAGTACGAACATAATAAATAACTCATACGGTGAATGCAAAGTGTTTGTGTTTTCTTTGCGACGCTTTATTGGTTGCAAACCGGTGGGATTGGTATATTTTCGTTTTACACTTACATTTTTGTGGAAATAAACCAACACTTGCCTTTTTCGATTAAACTTTCAGTTTAATACAATACTTGTGTCGATCAATGTGAAAACAACTGTCGCTTTAATAAGTTATGATTGAATAAAATTGCAAAGCTTTGTGGTGTACAAAAGCTCCGAGTGCAGGGCGTCGTGATACGTTTACTGAGTGGTCGTGCTTCTATGGAGCTCGTAGGCTCAGTGGTGAAGCGGGTGTGAGTGCGATGAAGACGACCGCCTGAAGAGCTTATAGGATGTGCAAGGCGGGTGTCAGCGGCGCGCTGCTGCTGGCGCTGCTGAGCGCGGCTTCGCCTCCGCCTCCGCCGGGTAAGGCCATATTGATTTATTTACATCCTTCTGTTTGTAAAAATCATTTTTTTTATAAAGTTCTTTGTCCATATATATATGTTTATAAATAAGTGTCTGTAAAATTCGGACTAAAATGTAACAAAAAAGCACAACTAAACCGTAAAGGTAATTGACAGTACAAACGTATTATATTTCTGCACTTTAAGCTTGCATCTGCACTGCACATGTTGCATTGACTCGAAGCTTAATTGTTAAGTCTTTGATAGTGTTGTTATCGTTGCATTTTAAAATAATTCTAAAGATTTTTAATACGGACAGTACGTATTAGCGTAAGTGGTATGTATAGTTCTTTTCAAATATCTTGGCGGCGCAAAGTGGCCGGAGCGGCGTGCTGGCAGCGTATTGGGCTCAGTTCTTTGAAGAACATTAATCTTAATATTTAAAACATAATTTATAATTAAAACTATTTTTAAATATCTTGGCGACCCAAGATCACATTGGTTAATTTAGAGTCGCTAAGATGTCTGAAAACATTTGTACCTGTCGTGAGCAGCCAGCTTTCCGCTGCGACAACGCCTGATCGACATACCAAGTAATAAAAATGTTTGCTGTTTTATCCGCACGAAATAGGTATAGATGTTGTCATATATCTTGGCGGCACAATTTTAGTACAGCTGGGACACAATTTATGTTGTAGCGGGTTGTATGGTGTTGCGAAGGGAGGGCACTGCATAGCGCTCAGATCTTGAAAAGCCAAGATATTTGAAAAGAAAGAATGTATAGGTACCTATTGGACTAGCCAACCAGACGTTACCATCACGATACATGTGTATTATTTGCGATGTAACCAAACACGTACCTACGATGTTTCGTGCAGGATTTGTAATGTGTCTATGTACACATAATATGTGCATGTGTGGATTAGAGCTCGCGTGCGCTGATTTTAACACTTGACATAAATTAATTGTATCGTTTCAACTTACACTTTAAAAATAACTATTTTTATTGATAAGTTACCATACTTTTTATAAATGACAAATATTTCAGTGCTTTACGCATGGTTGCAGGTGTAGGCATATACCAAATTCTAATATCTATTAGGTATTTTATTTCCAAAACGTTTATTTTTTAATTAGCGATTTTTAGATTGTTAAATTTTGTTAGGACTGACATTAAATCTACCGAGAGAAGGAGCCTAAGAAGGTCGCAGTGACATGCACCTGCCTGATGTCGGAGGTCAGCGAGCACGTTTATGTTCAATGCCGAGAATATGATTTATGTTCAGACGCTGCCTTCCGTCGGCGGCTGCGGCTCACTTTTGAAAAATTTGTGTACTAAAAAGTAAACACAAATAAATAAATAAAATGACAAAAAGTAAATTGCTCACCAGCTCAGCACTTTTGTTGTTGTTATGATAACAACTAATTATCCGTTATTGTAATTGTTCGTTGTGTCGTTAATATAATGGTTGTTATTTGGGCTATGGTCCCCTGTTCGCCCAGCAAGCGCTCACTTAGTGTGCGTGGTGTAGCCAAGGCACACAAGTCAGCTTCGCCACCTCGCCACCTCGTCACCTCGCCGCTGCCAAAGCTTGCGCTTTTATCCCTATTAGCTGCTACCACCTCGTTCTTATACATTTGGTCCGAAAACTGAAAAAGTTTCTTATGGTTCATCAAAGGAGGGAACTGCATCGGCATCTGTGCAGGGGATGTCTATGAGCGTTGGTGATTACATAACTTCAAACTATACGCTCCTTGTTTGCCCTTTTAATAAAATACGAAAGTATTTCGTTTATAGCATGGCATGGCTCGGTTGCTGGAAGAACAGATTTCTGAGTACCGCCACCAGCAAGTGCACACTTCAAAGTGTACCATTCAGTATATGTATATGTAGGTCCTACGAAAAGTAAGCAAGTCGACGCTTATGGGAATATCTATAAAATTAAAAACCGCTTTGAGTGCACGTCGAGCGCAAATGTAATCAGTGAGCCGCGCGTAAAACTTAGTCGCGCTGGCTTACTGCCTACCTGCATTTCTTGTGCAAAACAAGGCCTTAGAGTATAGGATGTCTGCAATACGAGCCGCGTGGGCCGTCTCGATTCGCCCCCTCCTCATAGTAGGCCTCGCGTCGACTCTTGTGACCTCTCTTGCATATCTGATGCACCATTGGCTTCACTGAATTTATACATTTATTATTCCAATTTTACAAATATTCAATACAATATGCTATTTTTGTTCGAGGGCACACTTACCGGTTGCCGGCCACCCTAGACCCCGAGCCGGTCATAATCGCTGCTAATTAGACGTAAACACCGAGTAGCGCGCAGCCGGACGAGCCTGGTCTTTTTTGTGCCCTGCGACCGCGGCTCGGACCGGTCTGCCCGAACCCGGAGCTGCCCCCCCACACCCCCGCCCCCGCCCCCGCACCCCACCCTTGTAGCGAACACACCGCGTCTCAGACAACACATTACAATCTATGACATTAAAACTATGTCATAGCCCAAACACGTGTCTTTTGTCTTTGTTATTTGTAAATACAGTGTTTGGTATAATAGTAAGGTAAAGGTATTAATAAACGTACATTTTTATCTAGTGGGATCTGAGGGAACAACTGTACCTACATAGTTAGTAGGGCCACAGTCTGCTCCGTCTACGTTGTAGGTACTCCAGACAACAAGTTACTTACTACTCGATTATAATACGATGAACACTAACAACTCCACTGTATTCATTGATTATTATTATTTTGCTGCCGACCAATCTAAAGTGATCGAACATATCGTATTCTTCAGACATCTACCTCTACCGAGTCGCCTGCTCTTCTAAAAATAAACTATATAACCTTTTCTCCGACGCGGCGACCGACTAAGTGTACCATTCGTTGTGGTTTGTTTATTGGTGCGAGTCAAATATGTATGTTGTCGTAAACGTTGAGGCAAAAGCTTAGTGCATAGCAGCAGCCAGCAGCGCGGCGTGTGCAGATTGCAGTTTGCACGGCTGCGTGAGCCCCGCGCTGCGCCGCGCCCTGCAGCGCCCTGCAGCGCCGCTACGGCAATCGCTTCAACGCACTAATTAACTTGAGCCCTTTGAACGCTGCGGGCTGCAATGCACTCTGCCTCTAGTATGCTTCACTATTTTCCAGAAGCCAATGTACATAATATGAGATGAGCGTTACAACTATGTATTTTACATGTACCGATAGAACACTTCAGATTGTCGACCTTGAATATTGATTAACTATAATATTAATCTGTATGTAACAACAACAATATATTCATCATCATAACATATATTCGGCGAGCGGCAGCGACCAGCGGCAGCGGCGACCAGTAAGACATTATGTACGCGAGTCAGACCACCCTGTCATTGCAGCTCATTTAGTCCGGAATCGTGTCTAGCTTCACAATTACATTTCCGGATGGAATTTATAACACGTGAATAAACATTTAAATATAAATGCTTGCACGCACTAGGCGCGAACAATCGGGCGCAGCTATAGATATGATATCAGCAACAGTTGAGGTGCGCGCGCGTGTGTGTGTGTGTGTGTGTCCAACTGTGGTGGTCCAACATGGTGGTCTGTTATGTACGTCTTCGATCACAAACAATATTGACCCATCATAATTACATATATATTTATTGACAAGTTACAAGAAGAATGTACATGCACAGGAGTACAGTTGATGTAATTAAGTATAGGTAGCGTGGGGTGCGGGATGCGGGGTGCTGTAGACGTCGAGGGGGAGCACACTATAACAGATTGAGCGGCTCTTGAGAGACCACTTCCTCGACTCTGATCAATCTCAATGGAGACCTCGTCTGGTGAATTTTTATTACATCGCTCAGTCAATGGTTAAATTGAGCTCCCAGCTCTAAAAGCGTCCCTGAACATAATTGCTAAAAGTGTTTTCGTCACGATTTCCTCTGCCGGTCGTTCATATGTGTACCGGTTTCGTAGTGGCCAGTCTGCGTTGGACACATTGTATGTATTCAAAATAGATTGATCCACGATAGGCGAAGAGACGGCCCCGCGCTTATTATCGCGTCACCCCGCTGACCCCCGATAGCTGCCGCCGCCCGCCGGCCGCCGGCGCTGCATCAGGGGGCTCCCTGTGATCTGTCCGCAATCATCAACAATGAACTATCACATTATATTATCATACGTCTGAGCAGTTCGTCTCCGAGTGCATACACTTTTATATTAGCTCACTTTAGTGCATACATAATACAATAAAAAATGTTTCTTTATGAGATTTTAAGTGTTACTTGTGTGGGAGACATCGGTAGTTAGCAGTTGACTATCTACAAACTTGACATTACTCATATATTATAATACATCAGAACAAATGCTAATGGTTCGCAATATAGATAATATTAATTATACTAATATAGAACTTCATACATTCCTACACTTAAATCTTAAAAGTGTTTGCTTACGCACACACGTTTGGTTATTATAGAGACGTCAGAGGGCATGCACCAATCTGCCGTGGGGTTGATGTTGGGGTTGGTCAGTGCGGTGCGGCGCGGGGTACACTCCCTGCAGCGCTCTGCCTAGAAACAAGCGTCCCCTCGTCAAACACAATCAACATTAATTTGTACATTTTCACATTTAAACCTACACTGCAACATAGTGAAGCGAATTTCCGCACGAAATCTCTCAAAATGTATGGAACTTTATAATCGTACATTCCTATTGCTAGTTTTCCCAACTCACGTGCTGATCTACAATTTATCTTACTAACATTATAAATGCGAATGTTTGGATGGATGTATGCTTGTTTGAAGGTATCTCCAGAATGGCTGAACGGATCTCGATGAAATTTGGCACACATATAGATCATAATCTGGAAGAACGCATAGGCTACTAACTATATTATACTTTTTATTATAATTAAAACAGAACGAAACTGTACCTCTCACGTGTTTGTGGAAATAGTTTTAATATATAATATTATGTAAGTGTGATATGTATTATATTTTGACAGCGCTAATGCAATTGTAATGTAAGTAAATAAATACTTTGCCTCAGAGGTGACACTAACAATAGACATGCGATAAGGCCGGTCTCGTACACGGCGGGTGGTGTGCGCGGCTGCTGATCCTCACCTCGGATCTTTATCGTTAAACTACTTTCATTAGATATTACTAGTTATTAGCTAAAACTAGATTTTTTAATAATATAAGGTGGCGAGCGAGCTGCCGCCGCCATCTGCATTTCTGACATAGCAGCGAAAGCTGCCCATAGACAATCGCAATTGCAGATAGGTTGCTTTAATCAACGAACTGGGCGAAGCACCGAAGGAGAATATCTATCTAATATCCATCTATGTAAACTTTCGTGTTTATAATATTAATGAAATGTAATGATCTTCTCTGATAAGTGGTTGTTGCGGTGTGTGTGTGTTGCAGGCGTGCCCGGGGAGGACCTGCCAGCAGGCGGCGGGGTCGGCAGCTTGGGTGACAAGTGCCCCGTGGAGCACTTCTGGTGCGCGGACGGTTCGCGGTGTCTGCCGGCGGCGTGGCGCTGCGACGGGCGCGCGCATTGCGCAGACGCCTCCGACGAGCTGCACTGCAGTGAGTGAGATTAGCGCTGTGCGCGTGCCCCGGTGAGCCGGCACACAACGGTGACGGTGAGACGTGTGCTTGTTGCAGCGTGGAACGCGACGTGCGGTGCGGGCCAGTTTCGGTGCGAGCGCAGCGGCCTGTGCATTGCGGCGGGCTGGCGCTGTGACGGCGACGCGGACTGCGGCCCACACGACGACTCAGACGAGAACCCCTACATGTGTGCGTAAAATTTAGGAAGCGTTTTTATGTACAATTTGAGTCCAGTACGAGTGTCGGGTCGTATCGCAGGCGAGAAGGAGTTCCGGTGCGGCGGCAACGAGGCGCGCTGCGAGACGCCGCTGGGCGGACGCTTCTCGTGCGTGCCCGTCGCCGCCTTCTGCGACGCGCGGCGCGACTGCGTCGACGGCAGCGACGAGTGGGACATCTGCGACAACTGTACGCACCACACCCGCTACGAGTGGCATTCATAATCTAATGTTGCATTCCGTCCATATTACATATGCAACGATGAAAATGTTGCAGTTACGAGGTCTCAATGCGGGGCGCTGGGCTGCGCGCACGGCTGCCGGCCAACGCACCGGGGCCTCGCCTGCTTCTGCCCCGAGGGCTACGAGCCCAGCGAGGGACGCTGCATCGGTCAGTGCCCCCATACTACACACAGCTCTATACGAATCTATTAATTTATTATATTTAGATATCGGTAGAAACGAGGCAAGGAAAATATATATTGCACTCAGATTGTCAAAACAGTAGAATAGAGCGAAGGAGTGACAGTGGTGCACGTTGCAGACAGCGACGAGTGCGCGCGCGAGGACACATGCGCGCAGCTATGCGTCAACTCGGCCGGCTCGTACGCGTGCGCGTGCGCAGCGGGATACACGCTGCAGCCCGACGGCTCCTCGTGCATCGCCGACGACGGTAACCTAGCCCCTACTTTATAGTTAATCAAAAGCGGGGGAACCGATCTATTGATAGTCTATGTGTGAAGCGAATGGCTATCACGATATATGTGTACTCGCGATGTAGGGGACGAGCCGTTCTCGCTGGTGGTGGGCACGGCGGCGGGCGTGGCGCGCGTGTGGCCGCGCGACCGCCCCCCGCGCGTCGTCACGCGGGACGCCCTCGACGTGCGCGCCATCGACTTCCTCTACGACAACCGGTGACCGCCTCACGCCTGTATATCCAAACATGGGAATGCAAAATGTTACCGTATTAATGTGCGTCTGTGTTTGTGTGTGTGTGTCCAGGTCCGTGTGCTACGTGCACAGCAACGTGAGCCGCGCGAGCATCGTGTGCGTGCCGGCGGACAACATGACGCACTACAGTCTGCACCTCCCCACGCCCGCGCTCTTCCCCGACGTCGACTGTACGTGTGCGCCCGTCGCCCCCGCGCCGTATTCGCGTCGCCCCCGCGTCGCCCCGCGTGACTCGTGCGCTCTGTTGCAGCGGTGACCCAGCTGGCGATAGAGTGGGTGTCGCGCGACTGGTACGTGTACGACGAGGCGCGCGAGGTGCTGTACGTGTGCGAGGCGACGGGCCGCCATTGCCGGCTGCTGCTCGACGGCCTCTCCAAGCTGCACGGTCTCGCGCTCGACCCGCTGCGAGGGTCTGTTGCATCTAATCATACATTACTTCCTCGATCGCCGCGAAACGAGACGACGATACGTTCGATTGTGGCAGGTTGATGTTCTGGTCGGTGTGGGGCGCGGTGCCGCCGGCGGTGATGCGCGCGGGGCTGGCGGGCCTTGAGCGGCGCCCGCTGGCCGCGCACAAGCTGGTGTACCCGGGCCCGCCCGCGCTGGACCTGGTGGCGCGCCACGTCTACTGGCCCGACGCCTACCTCGAGTGCGTCGAGCGCGCCGACTACGAGGGCAAGCACCGCACCACCGTGCTGCGCGGATACAGCGTGAGCCTACACCTACAACTTACTCGTAGCACACCGTACAAGTCACCGTCCCCCTCATTCCCCCTTGTGGAACACACGCTCGAGCACCATATTGTGGCCGAGGGCAAGTTGTTGACTGTGCGTATGGTGGGTGCAGAGCCAGCGGCTGCAGCGCACGGCGGTGCTGTCGGGCGCGCTGTTCCTGCCCGCGTGGGAGGCGCGTGGTGTGCGCGTGGCAGCCGCGCGTCCGCCGCACGCGCCCCCCGCCCCGCCCGGCGCCGCGCTGCTTCCGCTGCCCGCCAGCCCGGCCGCCGTGCTCGCCTTCCACCGCCAAGCGCAACCCCGCGGTACACCACTCAGCCTTTTCGTCGTTTACGATATTTGTCAGTTATACACAATGCGATTGATATATTCACCGGCGGGTTGTGCGCAGTGGATCACCCGTGCGCCAACAACAATGGAGGTTGCGCGCACATCTGCGTGGTGGCGTACCGCGACGGTGCGGGCGTGGCGCAGTGCCTGTGCGCGCACGGCTACCGGCCGGCCGGGGAGCGCGACTGCGTGCGTGAGTACTCCTCCCCCTCCCGCACCTCCACACGCACGAGACGCGAGGTGTCCGTGTGTGCAGACGACATGCGTGCGTATGTGTGGTGTGTGTGTGTGTGCCAGGCGCCGAGCTGGACAGCTACCTGGTGGTGTGCCGCGGCGCGCCGGCCATGGTGCAGGCGCTGGCGCTGGACGCGGCGCACGCGGGCTGGGAGCCGCTGGTGCCGGCGACGCGCGCCGCGCGCCCCACCGCCGCCGACGTCGACCTCGCCGCCGGCTGGCTGTACTACTGCGACGTGCATCGGTACGAGATATCTCGCCAGCGGCTGGACGGCAGCGAACACGAGGTGTTCCTCAGCGAGGACGTCGACAACTGCGAGGGCATCGCCATCGACCCCATAGGTGAGTCCGTCCCCGCCCCCGTCCCCGCCCCCGCCCCCGCTCCGGTGCGAGCGGAGGTAAGATGTCGGTGATGTGTGCAGGAGGCAACGTGTACTGGACGGACGACACGCTGGGGCGCGTGTCGGTGGCGCGGCTGGGCGACGCGGCGCGCCGGCGCGTGCTGGTGCAGGAGCCTCACTACAACCCGCGCGCCATCGCGCTCGATCCACCGAACGGGTACCCAAGCCGTCGACTTCTTTTTTTATCATAGAGTGGCAAACGAGCGGCCACCTGAAATCGCTGAAATAGCGAAGCGACCGTTGTCCATAGACATACGCAATTGCAAATGGCCATGTCGCCTATCTTTCATCGACGGAGAGGATGCACAGAAAGAGAATATGTTCCCTTCCCATGCATCATCCGCTCATCCTCAGATAAAAAGGTGGGAAGTGAAAGAGGAGTAAAATTGTGTCTCCGGGTCAGTGCGCGGAATCGCTTCCACTGACGGCGTTTCTTCTGTGTGGTCGTAGTATTTCACCGGCCGAATCCGGACAATTCGTGCGAAGGTGTTAAATCGGGCCACATACCATACATACCACTGTTAAAATTCTTCTTAAATATGAGGACGATTTATTATCTATTAGATTTTTAGTTAGATAAATGTAAGGGATGTCTGTATGCGTGTACGTGCTTGTGTGACATTGCAGCGTGATGTACTGGTCGGTGTGGGCGAGCGCGGTGACGGCGCGCGGGCGCATCGAGACGGCCGACATGGACGGGTCGCGGCGGCGCACGCTGCTCGACTCCGACCTGCACTGGCCCAACGGCCTCGTCTACCAGCCCGACACCGACACGCTGTACTGGTGAGGAGCGGCACGAGCGGCACGAGGCGGCGCCCGGGCCCGCGAGCTCGGTGATCACCCGCGGGTGTGTTGTGTGTGTGCAGGTGCGACACCTACCTGAACAAGATAGAGCGGCTGCGGCTGCGCGCGGACGGCCGGCACGAGCGCGAGCTGGTGGCGCGCGACGAGCCCGCCGCGCCGCTCAGGAAGCCTTACGGACTCGCGCTCTACGAGGGTTAGCATGCCCGTTCTATTAGTCCGGTGCTCTCAGAGGATATGATATTTCAAGATTACGAGTACCTTATGTTGACGGTGTCGCAGGCGCGGTGGTGTGGAGCGAGCACGGCTCGGGCGGCGTGCGGCAGCTGCGCGCCGGCCGCGTGACGCAGCTGGCCGCCCTCGCGCCGCCGCTGTACGACATCCGGCTCGTCTCCCGCACGGCCGCCATCGGTGACCCTCATTTTACTCTTGGTCAAGTTTGACCGTCGCCCGCTCCGCGTTCCTAATCGGTATAGTGTGCGAGGCAGGCAGCAACGAGTGCGCGCACGAGAACGGCGGCTGCGAGGAGCTGTGCCTGCCG